TTAAGTGGATTAAAAAAGTAAACTTTTTGTTATAGAGAGTTTGTTATGCTTTCACTAACATCTAAGTGCCACCTATCAATTAGGCCAGTGAATCAAAATGATGAGAGTCACGGAACAGTGAAGCAAAGCGCAGGCCCTCATTAATGGGTTGTAACACGCGTTCTGAATGGCTCAATCCGTAGTCCAGGTTCTTCCCATGTCACTGAACAGAAGGAGGTAGCTGGTGATCCAGTCTGAGCTGCCATAGCGACCTTGTGTGGCTATGGCAGTAATCTCTACTCTGTCTCTCAGATCCACTTGTAGCCATTGATGCTCATTTGAGATGAGAGGGGACCATCCACCAGCCCCTGAAATAAAGGGGAACAGACAAGGCATTATCAGACTTTTTTCAAGCATGCCGAAAACTGTGTAAAGTTACATGCAGGTAATCCAACAGTACTCTCAATGAAAAACAATGAAAATGAAATAAGCAAAAGTCACACAGATGGACAGTGGACACTTTTTCACATACACCCAGCAACAAGATGGATTACATTTAAGTAGGGTGGGGATGAGTCATCTTTGCACAAGGGTCCACAAAGACATTGAAAGGCTTTTAAATTAGAATGGGAGGGAGGGGGATCCACTGAAGTCAATATTAACACCAGAGGGAAAGTCTAAATGCCAAAAGACCAGGTAATTAAGTGCTTAAACCTAAATGTTTAAAAGTATGCAAAACTAAATACATAAAAATAAAAATGTACCAATAGCAGGCAATTACTGTAACCGGAATCACAGAAATGTGAGGAATGGTGATGTTACAACTTGAGTGCATACATGATGAGTGCATTATGTTCTGCCATGATTCCATCACAGTTACATATGAGTTCAGAGCATGCACAATACCATTCCCTAGATAGCAGCAAATTCTACTATGTAAAAAATAAGACTAGGACCATTGACATGGGAGAATCCTGCACTTTCTAGGTTTCTTGGAGGCTACAATTTCTACAACATGCTCACCTCAGTGAATTTAAACCATGTTAAACCTTGCTCTCTAAACTTCTTAATCGCTAACAATTTGTTAGAGTAAGGTGGTGAATGAAGAAATGATAATAACAGA